TTCTAATCAATATCCTAGCTTCTTTTCTGAAAACGGCAAGTGAACCACTTTTGCCTAATCCCTTTCTCTTTATTTTTTTACATACCTTTGTCATACAATTCCCTCAGCTGCTTCTTTTCCAGACTAATGAATCTTTGTTTCCTTAATTGTTGTTTGCATAAAAATGATACCATTCCTTTCAACATCTGCTTTTCCCACAACAGCAAGATCTTATTTTTGAGTTTTAATCACCTGTTCATATCCCATTACAGTATGGGGAAAGTTAATATTGGCTTTCCTCGTGTGCGTTACCATCCGTTTATCTACTATATTTTTAGCAGTCCCTTTATCTCTTAGTCATTCAGTATCGTGAGCTCTTCTGCAGCTGTTTGCTCTTTGGTTTCCTTTTTAATATTCTTCACTATTTGTTGTGCGTAGTAAACTTGGGCATTCTGGTGTTCACTGTCTTGTTCAGATGATGAATCAATATACTGAAAAGCATATGTAACTGTAGGAGTCCACTGATAGTGCCCCTCTGCAGTAAAAACTGGTTCTTAACTGCTGTTTGGCTTGCTGTGTTTTAGCTAATTATTAATTTGTGTGAGGATTTTGCCTCATTTCACAGTAAATTAGTTAAGAACGTTTTGTGAGGGACAAAAGGATTTTGGAAACGTAAGTATACCTTAGCAGTTGCTTCTCTCATTAATTAACAGTATTGGGCAACTCTAAAAGATTTGTGAGGTGTGACCTCTGTTTGCAAAAGTTGTACTGGCGTGCTTCTTCCCCAGTTTTTTTTATTTTTATCCATGTGTTTTGAAGGGGATACATCAAAGGATCTCTCTCAGATTGAAGTGTTAATAAATTATACAGCAAACTGAACAAAATGGCCTGCTGGTCCTGTGATAGTATTTTGTTTTTATGCAATGGTCTTAGGGCCGTATGTATGCCCTCTTTTGTCCTTAAGGATAGGGGTCAGTCCAACTTCATGCTCCACCATAAATTGGTTAGTAGAACATGACTTAGTAAGAAACAGACATTTGAAACTTGGACCAGTTTGACCCCTTTGTATACTTTCCCTGTTTTTAATCATTAATGTTCAGATCAGGCAGTAGGGTTTGTGCAGATATAAGTAGTCCAGAACTGGGGGTGGTTCAACTATCAAAACTTTTCTGGAGAAGCCACATTTTCTTTAGGAGTTTACATCAGTTGTAACAGTTTAGCATTTTGGCAGGAATATTTCTGTACTATAGTATCATAACTTTGGCATTAATAGATTTTGACCAAGTGGTTTTGGCCATTTTTTTCCCTTCGGTTCATGAATTTAATGAATAGCTGTGATGTAGCCTTTCTAAAATTCTGGTCTTTACTTACATTGAGATTTTTTTGAAGTGTAAGGGACCAAATGGAAACGTTAAATTGCCAGAGTGACCCGCTCATGAATTTTTTGCTGTCAAATGCTCTTAAATTGCCTAGAATATTACAGAATATTGTTCAACAGCCTGCTGAAAGAAGTAGAGGAAAAAGACAGATTTTTATGTTTAAATTGTCTACATGTTTTTGGTATCTGGAGAGCTGAGAGGATGGGAACAACAGGTGAAGGTGCTGAAGGGATTTTATGTTCATTTATTTTCTGATTCTTGAATTTAGATTCAGTGATCACATTCAAGCATTTATGTTTGACTGTAATAAGCTACCTTTTGCTTTATTCTTAGACACTTTGGTTTCCAAACAGGCAGGCTAGATTATGTTGATCATTTTCAACTTCAGATTGCATGTGGTTCTGTCAAATATTTTAATTTATACAGAATTCTAAAATATGCATGAGATTCTTCACTGTGGTATTATTAAATTTATACTAAGCTTTGGAGACACCTTAGCCTTTTGTGGCTAATTCTCTGAAATAGAATTAGTCTATGGACTTGATTATGCAATATTCATACTGCAACAACACCAGGACACTTCAATCAAATGAAAGCTGGATTATTCTAGGGATTACAAATATTCTAAATGAAATTTCTTTCCGCAAAGAGATTGCAGTCTAAAAGATTCTTTAGTGTTACCAACTCTGGCAATTTCATTACAAGTTTTTAATTTACTACAAAAGTGTCCCTCAATCACTAACTCTCAGTCATCCTGTGAGAATGTGGAACTCACTATTCTGATTTAATTAAAGAAGTAAATAGAAAGATCATCTGTTGCTGACTGTAAGAAGGAGGTTTAGGGGGGGAAAAATTAACCCTAAATCTTTATGAGCAAGAAAAAGAAATAGAAGTATAACACTTCGCAGAATGTTCTTTATTTTGAGTAAGTTTTATGGCTTTTGAACACCTGGGCATAACAGAGCTGAAGATAGGTCATTCTGTGGTTTATTTTCTTTTATAAGTACTACTCAGTGCATATTTACAGCTCATATAAAAATAATGAACTTTCAACTCCCTTCTCTACCAGAAAGTTCTCTGTACAACGTGGAACAAATAATTTTGGTTTGGAGACACCACAAATGCTTAACTTTGACCTAAATACCTATGTCTGTGAATCCTTCTCAGCTGTGCCCCTGTAAATAGTATTGCTAGCTTTATAAAAGATTGAAATGCTCGGCTGACATGCTCATGCAGGGATGTAAATACCAATAAAAAAAACTTCTCAGTTTGTCCCTTTTATGTGTTCTGTACGAAACTCCTAGCTTGTTCTATAGTTTATTTAATAAGCATTATTTTAAGCTCTTAATCATGTTCGTAAATCTCCATTGGTACACTGAGCAGTGGTTTGAGCATTTTCTAATCTGTTTCTAATTTAATTGATTTTTGCCTGTAAACACTACTTTGAAATTGTTTGCAGACAAAACCAGTTATCATCTTTTTTGACAATTTGGGCATAGTTCTGTACTTTCAGTCATTGATACAATGATGTAAACCTCTGGATATTTTTTCACAAGGAACAAACTGCATATTCTGCAAGTGTATATTGACTAAGATGTATATCTCTCTGCAGTTTCCTGAATGCTTTAGTGTTAGTGATTCTGTGACAGCTTGTAAAATTTCGTAAATATTTTCTTGTTGTCGTGTTTCGTTCCTGGTGACTTCATGCTCTATTTAGTTGCAATACATAAGATGCTCAAAAGTCTGTGTATAAACTCTGGGTTAGGTTTGAGTAGACCCTTTTATCAATAGCTGTATGTCCAGGCTAATTCCCCTAACTTAATTTGGATTTGCACAATTTGATTCAAGGTTATTTTCTTTTGAATGCCGTAGTTACATGAAATAAGTAGATTGTAAAATTTTGTATTTTCACTATTGTGAGATCTGGACATCCTTTACTGCTTAGGTAGTATCAACAATCTTGCCTTTCTAGTAGAGGCATTTGAAGGAAGACTTCAAAGATGAAATTTCGAAATTCATCCGTCCATATATGGATAGTGATAACACAGAAATCAGAATTTTAAATCTACTATTAAATAACATTATGGAAAAAAGTCACAATGCACAAATAAGAAACTGGTATTCTCTAATGTAGTCTTTACATGAGGATATTATTTGTGTCTTTATCTCTAATGATTGAGGCATGTAGAAGAGTTGCACAGACCAAATTAATTTAAACCAAAAATTTGTTTTATATTGCATTTAGGGAAAATTCAGGATGTTTGTGACTAAAAACTATTTCATTTTTATTGTCAGTTATAAATATTAACAAAAATATAAGTAGTGTTAAGGTAATACTGAAGCTAAGTCCCAAGCATAATTTCTAGATAGGCAGCGTTCCTTTCTACATGAATGCTCTTTTTTATTTCTCTACTAAATCCTGAGTTTCTTGAATAGTTTTATTGCTATGATTATTCCCTTCTGAGACAAGCAGAGCCAGAGATGCATATTCATGGATTTTTTTCACTGTATTGTCTGATAAACTGCACTTACTGATTCTCATTTATTCTGCACAGGCTCCATCATCACCTTCTTCACCTATAGCTAATGAACCAAAATACGAGAAGCGCTGGCTAGACACCTTATCAGTTCCTCTGTCAATGGCTCGAATCTCGAGGTACAAAGCTGGAACAGATAAATTAAGGTTTGTAATCTAAGAGGGGAAGCACTGGGTTAGCTAGCTGCACCTAATATTTTGCTGTGGAGGGTTTGCTGTATAATTCTTTGAGTGAAACTATGAAAGTCTTATTAAAAACTATGCAGTCCATCTGCTCTTGAGATTAATAGCATGTGTGGCGATTACCTAAGATAAAGTAAAAAAGCACAATAAATATAGTTCCTACAAATATGTGTCTATAATCTGTTGTATCTCAGGAATTCAGTTAGCATCAGCAGCTAGTACAGAGCTTAAGCTTGGCGTTACTTGAATTAATTTTTAAGGTACTGCATTTCATTCCATATCTCCGATAGAGTACTTCTGTATTCACAAATTCTAATATTGTCAATTAACTCTCCTTTTTCTTTGCAAATTATAACATGGCGCACAATCATCATGATTGTCATGTATGGTGCATATCATTGTCATATAGAAACTCATATTGACAAGAGGTGTTGGTAAAGTACATGTGTCTTGGTTTGTCTGGGACAGAATCCCAACCCAGCCATGCTAGGGAGGCCGTTAGCAGACTCAGGTCAGCCAGGGCAGCTGACCTGAGTGAGCTACAGGTGTAGCCCATCCCATAATGTCATGGTCATTATAAAGGGGGAAGGTTTGCTGAGGAAAGAAAGCTCCTGGGGGGTTCTTGCTGAGGTTCCTTCTAATCCTCCCTTGGCTTTGCCTAAGGACTCATTTCTGATCAGTTATGAGGACTAGATATTCATTTGGCTAAGTATAACTCTACATGTCTCTGTTAGTGTCAGTGGTGTTTCAGAAAATCTGTTGCACTTCCACCCGCAGGTCTGCTCTCCTTTTTTCCCCGTTCTCCTCCCTGGCTTGTGAGGGGTTGTTGGTGACAGAACAACTGTTAGAGTTTAGCCCTGGGTACAGGCTAAATATAGACAGTGTGATACAAAATATTGTGGTTTTGATTGTAGAATATTTTTGCATCTCAGAGGCCTGAGTAATGCTTCATAAAGTCGTCATGGAATAGAATGTTAGAGGTGATATTTCTGGACTTCAGGAAAGATGAAAGCAAAAGGGAAGTTTAATAAAGCTTCAATATATAATGTGCTTGAGAAAGGTTTAACACACTGAAACATGCATCAGCTTTTTTTCTGCAAACCATTTATGTGGTAGGACTGCCTCGACAGTAGTTGTGGTCCAAGTAGTCCACAGTTCTCCGTATGTATGAGAACATGAGTTCACTCACTGTTGTTATTTTTGATTTTTCTTTATGCATTACCCTATATTTATTTCTAATTATTGCTAATGAGATAATCAGAATCTCTAAGCATTGACTACACAGGTCACCTGCTACCAGGAGGTATCAGAAATTCATGTGTTTGTCTTCTTTGATCTATGCCAGACTTGTAACCTGTTTCCTGAAAATGACCTGAAAAATATTATTTTTCTAGTGAGGTAGTTATGCTGCTTTAACTTAGAGTGATTAGTCTCCTAGATCAGTTGGCAACTCCTCTCCTAGACTTTTGTTAAAGCATCACAGGTGAATAATAATAAATTATTCCAGAAGCTTTAGATTCTTCTACAGTCTGTCTGAACTCTTGATTCCTTTTTAGTTAGTCTCTCATCACTTCCTCCACCACTTTCTTCCTTCCTACTTCACCTGGCCAGTCCATGTGGTCCAACTGTTCCCAATCTACCACATGTCTTCAACTATTCAAGGCTTAGAAGTTCTCCTGTGAATTAAGTGAACAAATCTCTGTGTGTGCGTTTAGACATCAACTTATCGTCAATGTTCTTAAATTTAAAGGATAAGTGGAAGAAAATAGAACACTTAAACCTCTGAGTTTAGTCATCACCCCAATAGTTTGAAGCAGTTTCACTCTGTGTGCTGCATGCGTTAGATGGAGCAATCCCAAGGTATTCCAGTTCCCAAAACAGTAGTGTGTGCATTTTGAGAATTCCTTCAAGTAAAATACCTTCAGATATTGTTCTGTGTCTGGCTGAGATGGAGTTAATTTTCTTCATAGCAGCCCATATGCTGCTGTGTTTTGGGTTGTGACTAAAACAGTGTTAATGAGCAGTGCCTTCACAACATCAAGGCTTTCTCTTTTTCTCCTGCTCTGCTCCTCCTCAACAAGTAGGCCAGGGGTGGGCAAGAAGTTGGGAGGGAATGCAACCTGGGCCACTGACCTGAACGGACAAAAGGGGTATTCCATGCCATGTAATGTTGTGCTTAGCAATGAAAACTGAGAAGTTGAGATTTGGGGAGGAGCTAGCTGTTGCTGTCTGGGCATCATTCTTGTGAGGTGGTGAGTGGGTGCCTTTGCATCATTTGTTTTGTTGTGGGTTGGTTTGTTGGTTTTTTCCTCTTCCCATTGCTTATTCATAGAATCATAGAACAGTTTCAGTTGGAAGAGACCTTCAAGATCATTGAGTCCAGCCTTTGTCCTAGCTCTACCAACACCACTAAACCATGTCCCTAAGTACAACATCTACCCGTCTCTTAAACACCTCCAGGGATGGTAACTCCACCACCTCCCTGGGCAGGCTGTTTCAGTGCCTGACAACCCTTTCAGTAAAGAAATTCTTCCTAATATCCAGCCTGAACCTCCCCTGCTGCAGCTTAAGGCCATTTCCACTTGTTCTATCGCTTGTTACTGGGCGAACAGACTGACCCCCGCCTCGCTACAACCTCCTTACCTCCTTTCAGGTAGTTGTAGAGAGCGATAAGGTCTCCTCTCAGCCTTCTCTTCTCCAGGCTGAGCAGCCCCAGATCCCTCAGCTGTTCCTCATATTATTTCAACCCACAAGTTTACTTCTTGCTCTTCTCTCTGTTCTCTCTGCTGTCCTGCTGGAGAAGGAGGCTGGGGGCGGGGGGGTGTGAGTGGCAGTGTGAATGCTTAGGTGCTGGGATCAACCCATCACAGATACATTTCTCTTGTAAGGATTGAGGAGCTTAGTGCTTTCAGTTTCAGTCTTGGAGAGACGTATTTTATTGTGATGTGTCTTGTTCCCAGATACATACTTAGTATACACAGCACTCCTTTATTACTGGTGGTTTTTTTCTCTTACTGTTGTAAACACTCTAAAGGAAGATTGAATTATTCTATAAAGCCTATTACTATCCCATGATACTTTAGTTCTCCTAAGTGCTCCTTGCTTGTTTCGGTAAACCAACAAGAACATCTATATGAGTGTTCAAGGAATACCACCTTGAGATTAACTGCAGATGAGGTGTTTTGCATGTTCTTACTAAAGGTGTCTGGTTTTGCCTGAGGGCTAGCAGACTGCTCTTACCCTGTTCTCTCCTTCTCTGAAATACACGTATATCTTTTTACTATTATCCCACTTGTATCCTTTCTTTTACATTTCCCCATGTTCACATAAGCATAAATTCCAACATTTGTCTTCAGTAATTGCTCTCTAAAATCAAATGTCTGCTTTGCATGAAATAAAACCTACAAGCAATTGCAAGTATAAATGGTGGCATCAATCTAGGTAACAGTTCTCCTTTCAACCATATCTACAAATCTCTGCTTCCTTTCACATTTCAGCCATCAGTATAAATGAGTGACTCATTTGAATGAGTCCGTGACGATTCGTTTGAATGTATCATGGATTCCTCTGACCAATTTGCTAATTTTGCCAGTCTCTGAATATTTATTTGGAGTCTAGTTGCATACATTGGTAGACAGAATGCCTATTTTTTCAGTATTAAATGAGTCCATGAGTCTGTATGTCATCCTTGTAACTTTTTGTCTCCCTCATGTTCTTTGTCATAACTTTGTTTTGTTGCAATACTTCATTAGATTTTTATCCTCTAAGTTACCTCAGTTAGTCTTGAGATGGTGCACTGGCACCAGAACAACACAGACTTAAAAAGTAATCTGGCTGAAGTATTGGAACTATCTTCTGTAGTGTCACATACACAGCTGTGTGCCTTCTCTTCAGCTAGAGAGACTGTATGAAAGGGCTTTTCCCCTACTTCCAGGCTGAATTAAATTCAGAGAGGTCTGTATCATTCTTTCCATCAAAGTTATCTATACCCCTTTGGCTTTTGACATTGCCTTGTAACTATGCAAAACGTTATGGCTTGTGAAAGGATATTGAAGCCTGTATAGTTATTTTGCTGTCTATCCACTCCCAGTTAATGCAGACTCTGATTTCTTCAGTCCTTCTTTTCCCTGAGAGAAAAACAGCTGTTTCACCTGTAAAATTCTTGCAGTTGGCTACAGCAAACTTAGCATGCTTTTGTTACTAAAATCAATCACAGACTGTTTTAATATATAGTATTGTATATTCTGTGTATAATATCTGTTAAGTCCATCTGCTCTTGTAATTCTGATGTAGTAAACTGCTGTCAGCCAGTCTGGGATGGCCCCTCTCACCTCATTCATTTTTCTTTTCACATTCAAGTTTGTTTTGTATTTTCAGCATTGTTTTTCTGGTTGTGTAAATAAGCTCTGAGTTTCAGATAACTTTAGGAACAGGAAAAGGTTTGTCTGTCATAAGGTAGAACAGAGTCTGATATGATACTGAAAGGAATCTTTTTGTTGCCTTTGTTTTTAAAAAAGAGAGTATGCCAATGTATGGCATGTCAGCATTTTGCTTAATATTTTTGACCATTCTTCATCTAGAAACATGTTATATAGCTAAAGTTGTCTGGTAGACTGTAGTATAATTTTAAGTGTGGTTTAGATCAAATCTAGTCTAATCTAATTAGATTAGGCTATATTATTTCCTTTGTGGTTAAACTATGTAGTTTAAATGCCTCTGTACTTCATTTGAGTTTTCCAGTAACCCTGGCAAAAACGAGCGTACTTCTAGCTCTTCTGTTATGAGATGGCCAGGATTGTTATTGATTGTTATTCTTTTTTCATTATAAGAGGAAGGAGTTAACTTTTGACTTTCCATTTTCTTTTTCCCAAGAAGTCTTAAGACTGGTGACCTGTATGAAAGATATACTCATGTCATTATTTTAGATTCTGTCAGCACCATACATATTAAGAGAAGCAGAGACT